TTTCATGTAAAACAAATATCACTTAATGTGGCGCTGGTTCTGTCGACGCTGGCTAATGGCAAAACAAAAGGCACGTAGCTGCATTCCACTTGTTGTTGTTGTTGTTGTTGTTGTTGTTGTTGCAGCCCACTGGACTGGCCACGTCAACGGCGTCATTTGGCCAACACGCAGCTGCTATTGCAGCAGACGGACCTTCCACCTGGACACGTGTGCGTGTGCGGCTCATAATAAAAAGTGTGCATCAGGTTGCAACGAGCGTCGAGGGGGAAGTGGGGCACGGGGGAAAGGGGGTTCGGGGACGGTACATGTTTGCCGCTGTGCGGCATTAAAAGCAACTGTCGACAAACAACAACAAGAGCCATAGAAACGGGCCAGCTGATGGCAATATGTGGCCGGCTCGTGCACCACTGCACCGTGGTGCCAAATTATGTGTGCCGCAAGTGAAACTTAAAATTTCAATTGCAATTGGATTTTTTATTTTTATACCCTAAACCCAATAAAAATGGGTAAATTTGGTACCCTGCTCTTGTGGAAATGTATGCAACAGACAGAAGGAAGCATCTCCGATCACATAAAGTATATATATTCTCGATCAGCAGCAATAGCCGAGTCGCACGTTTGTCCGTCGGTTTCGACTAGAGCCTCTGCTTGTTATAAATATATATTTTGGTAAGCGTTTTTCTATGGTAACTCGGCTAGTGACATGATGCTAAATAGTTAGGAAGTAGTTTTGAAAGTAAATGAAATTAGCTGTAAATTATTTGTTTTTAGAAGTATGTTTACCAGTTTGTATATATAAATATTTATTATCGGTTATGTTCTGTTATGTTATGTTATGTTAGTATTTTACAAATTTTCCGCACGGTTTGAAGGTCACAGCTAGTCTTAGAGTCACACACGAGTGACTTAGTCATTGGGCTTTAGGAATAAGTTAAGCATGCAAAGGATCGAACCACTGTGCGCTGGGCAGTGTCCATGGCACTTAATTTTAATAAACAAAATACTCGACGCGTGTGCTTGGACCAGGACCAGGGCCCAGTTACTGCACCGGGTCTATCAGCCGCAAGGCTAGCGAATGCAATATGGAATATGGACACACACACACACACATACGTAATCTACATACGTAGCATATTTTTGCAGCTCTGTTGGAGTTGTAATGAGCCGCACGAGAAATGCATAAAGTTTTTGGCTTAAGTAGTTCAGGGCACCGGCTCCGGGTCCCAGTAGATCGATGTCTAACCATAAGTCAGCCAGAGACGGCTGCGAGTGTCAGGCGGCGGCGGAGCGGGCGGAGCGCGACGTAAACAAAAGCCCGTAAATGGGAGTACGGGTCTGCGAATCTACGGGAATGCGACTACGGCTCAGAGTTTTGGCTCAGTGGCGGGTCGCACGTGCGCTTGTCATTTTACTTTTAAAACTTTTGCGTTTTGCTGCCGTTGTAGTTATTCTTGTTGTTATTGCTCATTTTATGCCTTATTTCAGTGGTTAAAAAAGGGTATCTTAGTTTGTGCAAGTGGATGTAGCAGCCAGTAGAAGAATTATCCGACCCCATATAGTAAGTATATAAGTCAGTCAGGTTAACTATATAAAGTTCACACAAACATAAATTCATGATTATGTATGCATTTTGGGATATCATAAGCAGACTATAGATAATTAGCCCCGTTTTTTGTACTCTATAATCAGAGCCAGAGACACCAAACTTGATATGTAAGTTCTCATAACTTAAAGTTATACAAGAATGCGTTTCTTATAGTGTGGGTTTTAGGGAAGAAGAAGTGCGTGCCTGTCTGTGTGAACATATAAGCTTTTAGTAGGAAGTAAGAATACTTTTGTCGGCATCTAAGCGCTAAATACAGGGTATCTGGCGACCAGAGCATGCTTATTTATTGCTGATGTTGTTTTTGCTGCTGTTTTTGGCTGCTTTTCAATTTTATTGTGAAAAACAAAGGTAACTGTAAAAGACGTTGGAGTGCTACGTGATTTACACCTAGGCGAATGTGCATCTGTGCATCATTTTACGAGCATGCTGGCTGGCACTTTCCACATGCCACATGCCACATGCCACACATGCCCTACCATACAACCGGCACCCACGGTCCTCCTTTGCCCACCTGCTGTGCATCAACCCGTTTAATGTTTATAAGGTGCTGCTTTTAGCTGACAGTCAAGATGTTTGTTTATATTTCTGTTGATGACTCGCTGCAGAATTTATTCGACTTTACAGCGCGGCCTCAACGTCAACGTGGATGCGACTTTTACGTGCGTGTTGATGCGCGTTGCTGCCACAGCTGACAGCATAGAGTCCTAGCTGCGGGCCCCTAGCTGCTGGCTTTCTGCTTTTTTTTGTTTTTTTGTTGTTGTTCCACTAACCGCTTTTCTGCCTGCATCCAGCCATTGGCCATGTCAAAGTCAAAGCCACGCGCAGCCATTGTCATTACACGCGCGAGCGCTTACACGATTTAAGTTTGGCTTCGGGATTGTTGGGCTTGTGGAGGGGGCGGGGAATGGTGGGGTTGGTTCTGGACTTGGTCAGATTGATTGTGGTCGCCGCTCGTTCGATTGCCACGCTGAGCCACCAGAATGCATTGCATTTTAATGAAGATGTACGACGCCGTGGTGGCCGGCGAGTAAGCGGCAAAGCGGAAAAGTGTGCCACGCGTGCCGCCTCTCTGCCGGCGCTTAGTTAGCACCCGCTTTGCCTCCCCACATGCGTTTGTCAGTTAGTGGAATTGTCGGGGCTTTAAGCCGTGTTTTGGTTACGCGTCGCAGTCATTGCGCGCATGGACCTGCCCAAAGGCCTTGAATGTGTTGGCATTTACGAGTTATTAGCTTCAGTCTGTGGGTGTTTTAGTGCCCTGTGTGGGTGTGTTTCTGTGTGTGGGTAAGCACATAGCAAAGGTTTTATGAGCCATGTTGAAGTCAGTTAAGGTAAAGATTCTAGACCATAGCATATTACTTGTATTCCGAGAAAGAAATAAAGAAAAAAGAGATAGAGAAAAAGAGAGATTGAGACAGACTAGGGAGAGAATGTGATAGAGAGAGAACGAGGAAGAGCAAGAGGGAGAGATAGAGAGATATATAGAAAAGAAAAAGAAATAGAAAAGGGAGAGCGAGAGAGAGAGAGAGGAGAGAGTAAAAGAGTAAGAGATGGTTAACCCTTGGTATTTTAATTATAGGACTATCGAAACACGACCACTTAATGTTTAATGTTTCACATTATTAAAAACTTGGATTAACTCGGAGTAATTCACTTTAACCCCAGCTTCCTGCAGCATTCACTAAACCAGTTGGCAATAGTTTATAATATTCTGACTGTTAATTTGAAAGTACAGACATTTCAAGGAATTGACTTAAGCATGCGCTAAAAAGAAAGAGCTTCAAATGATTTCTTTGTCTTTGTCTGGCAAAATTTCTTTCTGGCTGTTTGCTTTCACTTCGTCCTCACGAAAATTCCATGCGGCTCTGCCAAGTCCTTTGTCTTTGGCATCAGAGCCAACTTTACGCATTAATTTGTTAATAAATTTAATGTCTGCATATGTTTCGACAAACCAAAGCTCACAGACACACACACACACACACACACACACGCATGCGAAGGGTAATTAAAAATTTAATTGCTCTGTCAATATGTGCCGCCAAGTTTTTACTGTACCACAACTCTAAGAAAAAGGCGAAAACCAAAAGTTACAAATTGCACAAAAAGATGGATTTGCATTGCAAATGACTTACCAGAGTAAAAAGTCGCTGGCACTTTATCAATTTTACAGACAAACACTTCAAGTTCTTGGGCAAATTAAGTATGCGTAAGGCTTGCACACGCCCCAAAGCCCCTAACGCCCATTGTCCAACCCACTCGCGATGGCTTCGGTGTCCAGCTGCTATTGGCAGCTGCCATCCATTTGTGCTGTCAACGCAAACGCCGCTTGACGTGTTAATAACTTAAATGGCACAAACCCACACGTACGCATGTGGGCCATATGGGCCACTTCTATTTTACCCTGAACCTATTGAAAATGGTCAAATGGGGTATATGTTCTAAGAGCTAAGAGCTATAATAAAGTTGAAATGTAGATTCTCGTATTAGGAATACTTCACTCTACGATTCCTCCCAAAAGTATAAAAAACTTATTTTCAAAGGTAAAACCCTGGGCTTTGGCATAGACCAAGTTAGAAGTATCATATCAAAGCCCTGAAAAGTTTATGAAGATCAATCTATAAGCAGCCGAGTTAATTAAGAATGCCTTTTCCTTACAAAGTATGAAACAATCGGAAGAGGAAGCACATCAGCTGTGTGAAAGGCGCAGCATACGCCATGCGTGCAATCGTGTCTATATGTGTGTGTTTGTGTGTGTGTACGTATAAAAGTAAACCAGAATCTTTGTAACTACAGCTTGGCGTTGGGCTTAGGGTATCTCCTAATCGGACACTTCTGACTAGAGCACACCACCTGTTTATCATTTAAGTACGTGTACTTTATTGGCTGCGTGCCGGCATTCACGTTTGAAGTTCTGGGCTTGATCAGGGTAAAAGGTATTCATATAAATGCAAAATAGCCGCAATAAATGCATATTTTACTATGCATTCGCTGTGCATGCTGAGTGGCAAGTACCTCCGCCTTTACTATTTCCTTTTTATTGGTCTAAACAAAGGAAATGCAAAATTTTTTTTTTTAACATTTTGCTCTACTTTATTGAAATTAGGGCGTCGCTTTATTTTTATTTATTTTCTTTAAATAATTGACTTAAGGCCAGTTTTTGGTACATTATGCCCATAGCATAGTAAGCGAAAAGGTATTAAAAATATAAGGGGAAATATATAGACAGAAAAAGATAAACAAGTTGGTTTTCTTAACTGCAAGCCCAGACCTTGAAGCGGCTTAGCTAACAAATAAATAATATAATTATATACTTATATTAAATTATACATTTAATTATGCATTATAATTATAAATTTAATTTTAAAATTTATTCTTATATTTTAAAAATAAAAAACCTTATTTTAAACTACACGAATCATTCAAGAGCTTATGAATTTAACTGCATACAGGGTACTTCTCAGTCGAGCGAACTCAATTAACACACGTCTGGCTTACACAACTTGTCATTTGTATTTAAATTAGTCAAGCAAATTCAGTGTAAATCTGTGTAAATCCTCTAACAATAAATATTAAATGTGCCAACAAGGCGAGGCAAGTCAAGATGTTGCCACGTCCGAGTCGAATTATATTTGATTAACTGGTTGCACTTGCTACTTAGTTACAAGAACTTGGATTATTATGTAACTAAATGTTGGCTCTTGCTTAGCTAAACTTTGATTTGCGCTCAGTTGGACAGTGTGGCAAGCAAATATTTGCGGCAATCATCTAGCGAATGCAGTTGCAACTCGCAGTTTTGGCCAAAATGCTTGCAGCACATGTTGCACTCCAGCCGGGACTCATGCAACTGGCAGCTGCAATGCAAAGTAGAACCATTACAATCGGTCAATGGAAAAAGTTTTATATGTTTGTATACCCTAGAAGATTGCTCTTTGACAGAAAGTATATATATTCTTGATTAGTTTCTCTTTCTCTCAAAATCTTGACTAGACTTGATCAAAATCTTATCAAAAATGTATTACTATATCATAAAGTTTCATAGGAAGAATATGTTGAAAAATAAGTTATTTTACGGAATAATTTTGTGGCTTGTAATACATCTTGTACAAACTCATCAATTTGTCAATTCGTCAATTCGTCTTACTCCTCTATATGTCTCCTATAGTAACAATAAGTATTCGCTTAAAATCATTTCCAAGTCACTCTATAAGGGTATTCAATTTTCGGCATGCCGAAGATAGCCACCCACCCGTCGATAAAAGTCTCGGATGAGCTGCCCAGCTTATTGTCTGCGTCAAGTGAAGGCAGCTGCTGTGGCCATTTGATTGCGCCGCTTGTCTCCCTGTGACTTGGGTTGCCAATTTCGTTAGGACTTAAATTTGGTTTATCCGCCAGACGTAACGAACGTCTCGGCTCAGCTGGATCTGCTCCACTTGGCCAGGAGCGCCAGCTGCAGGCATCGCTGCCTAGGCTGGATACGGGCTCCATCAATTGCCGGCGGCTCCACTGTTCAATGGCGCGACGCACCACTATTGGCACAAAATGGCCGGCAATCCTTTTGGGATTTCTAATTAGATTTTACGCTGCCCTTATAAACCGAAACTTACCACTCATCGTAATCGTAGTCTGCGGGTTTTCTTTTTCTGCGGCTGTATTTTGGAGACTTACAGCTTAAAGGCTCTTTAGGACGCTTGTAGATGGGCAGATTGGAATAACGCTCACGTGTCTCTTAGGAAGATATATTTTATTTCATATAAAAAATGTACATATATATTAATAAAAAATGTACATATATCAATCAATCTCACTTTAAGGCTCACCCTCATATTGAGCATAGAAAATTTCGCGTTTCTTATTATATCGATTGGAGAAGAGGCTGCCAAACATTTTCCATGCACCTACGTCCAATTGAGAATGCGTTGCGTAATCAACTTGAGTTCTATTTTAAAGCTTCATGACTGCAAGACCGCAACAACAACGATAGCGATAAGAAAATAAACAGTTGCCAAACGTTGAGTCACAATCAGACTTTGCGACAAGTCATCGCAGCAGTCCAGTTTGATAATTGTTTATAAACAATATTGTTGATATTCCAGCATGAGTATTTGGAGATAGAACTCCGCTCTTCCGTCTATTCACAATTCATAAAATTTTCGATTAACAGAAAGGGGTCTCGACTCAAGACTTTTTAATTATTATTCTTCATTCATTGTATTAGGTTCTTGTATACCACAAACAGATCGGTTTGATTTCACATATTTGTGCATCTCTCATTTCTTCAAATTTATGAATATCGCCTTTCTTTGGGATTCTCAGAACTTTCCATTTTAGAAATTTGTATGTTTCTTGGGTGATAATAATTGCGATACACAATAATTGTATAAGTGGCTCTTTCTCTTCCATTCTCTGCTAAAAAAGGTTTATATCTCTCTCACCCAATTTTCTCTTTCTCTTCTGATCTCTCTGGCTTACCGGTTATCACTATCTCCCTCCTTCTCTCACGCCCACTTCCTGTTACTCTCGCTCACTCTTTTTTACTTGTGCTCTCAATCACACTTTTTTACTTCTCGCTTCTGCCAGTCTGCCTTCCCCCAAAATTGGACCCTTCTATGCGATTCTCAAGGCTTCAAGCCACGCTAATGATTCCATGTGTGGAAACAATTCGGACAAATTGCATTTTTCTGTGCATATAACTTGTTTGTTTATTAGTAAATAAATACGATTGTATTTGGGTTCATTGTCAAGTACTTTTGAGTAAAGCACTCTTATTTCTAGTAGTATGCCAAAGGGGTTCTAACCGCCAGTACTCGAATAAGTGCTCATTGCTGATTTTTTTTTAAAGTGCTATGCAGCATATTTTAATACTGATAACGCTTTACAAACACAAGCCATTTTGCACAATCAAAATTATAAACTAATGTCGAGTGGTGTTCATGGCTTCCAACACTTTTCGACATCAAATCGCAAAGTTTGAAAGCCGAGCACGTAGGGACACCATGCGAGTAACCGCAGCCACGAGCTGCACCTGAATATGCAGAAGCTGGACTCTGGCACACGCACACACACTAACAGAATAGGCACATGTGCGTGCATATGTGTAGCTGAAAATAAGGCACATAATTGGCTATTAACGCTGCCCGCGACACAAAGCACAATGGCTAATTGCAGTTGTTGTTGTTATTGTCAATTTTTGCTGAAATTGCGTCGCGTTAATTGAATTATAAGTGCGAAAACTGCTTTCAAGCGCTTAAATAATACATTAAAAATATTAAATTTTTAATAAACAAGAAAAAATGGCAGGACGAAAACTAAATTCCCTTGCTGACATGCGGCTTACGGTTTTGCAAATATGTGAGGATAAATGTAACGCTTGCAACTGCAGAGATTGGTCAAGATATCTCTATTAACAGAACGTTTTTTCAAATAAAAACCAATTTCTCGACTGTTTTCTCCTCTATAACTTAATGATATGATGTGCAGATATGTATAAAGCAACAAAGAGCTCGTCTATGTCAGGTTTGTTAAAGTTTTCTGAAAAATAAATACCTTGTTTATACAAGAACTTAAGTATTGACCGATCATTCCTAGTTTGCATAGAAACCGAAAGGCGACGAAGGCTATAATTACTCGTCTAATGATGCTAGTCAAGAATATATACACTCAACGAGCTCAGAGATGGCTCAATCTGTGCGTTACACATTTCATGACGGATTCATAATACCCTCTAACAATAAAATAAGTGAAAGGCATCTAGCTAAACAAAACATTACTATAAATTTAATTAAATTTTGCGCATTAGCCTCAGCTTTCAGCCAATTTAAATAGGCAAAGCACGGGCAAAGCCGATTTAATTGAGCGGCGGCGTTGCTGCTGGTGGTGTTGGGGTCGGATGGCAGGACACGATATAAAAATAATCCCAATAAAATGCATTTTTCATGTCAAACGCCTGAGCTGCTGGAATAACCTGAATGCACGCACAGGACTTTACGGAATTGCACGCAAACAAAGTGGTACACAGGCACAGCGTATATGGCAGCAGGGGCAGCGGTGGGTGTGGCAGGAGTCTGGCATTTCTGGCAGTCCGTAATGGGCGTTGCAATTGTGTGCAGCTCTATACAGGGCGTGGCAGCTCTTGTATTATGTAATAATAGCGCAAAAATCAAAGAAAACCCAACCAAATAACAAAATATCATTTGTACTGTCGGCGAGCTAAGCTAATAGCCAAGTCAACAACACAAAGAGCAACCAGCGGGGGCGAAGCTCAGGAGAGTGCATCAAATGCAACTGCCGCAAATCAGCTTATGCTTATGCATTTGACTAAACAAGTGCACTCGCAGCGCGCCACAACCCGGCTTACTGCATGCCACAGCTGGGCGCCTTTGTGGCCATTTCGCTTGGCGCCAAATTCAATTTATTGTCTTAAAGCGCTAAACCACAAAACGACAGGCTAACGCAATAAAAAACAACAAAGGATTATCTCTTGACTTAGCCGTTGGCCAACCTCCACACAAACCACCCCCTCAGCTCCCACTGTCCTCCAGTGGCAAAACTTACTATAACTTGTGGCGAGCCGGGGTGGGGGGAGAACACAATGTTAAAGTAAAAGTCAGCAAAAGTTCCATAGTGCACGCTGATAGCACGCGGCTCACAACTTTTCCAGAGTAAAATATATATAAAGAAAAAATATGTTTAATACAGGCAAAGTTTTGCATGCGTATTACTCGTTCTATGGCATTCAAATTCCCAAGTAGTTCAATTAATTAAAAGTCAGGCAAATGCATAACGAGCAGCAATACTCGAACTGACAGGCGTCCAATTGGCAGCTGCCGCCCAGGAGCCTAGTGGCTCTTACACATCAATTAGCCTCGAAATACAGCACATTCGACACACCTACAAGCCACACATAATCTTTTGAGGGGCATTTATTTACTATCGATATCTAGAAATTCTATTCTATTCTACGATTTGTAGTATGCTCGTGCTTAAGATTTCTTTTGCACAGATTTATTTAATTGAAGCTATCTTAGAATTTCGGAATCAACAAGCTTTGGTTTCCAGACCCTTTGTCTTGCACAAAGGCTTTCAATACACGATTAAATACAAACATTTACATATTTTAAACTGAACAGCGAGAGTCCTGGTTCGACTATCAATCTATCAGCTATGGATGGAGTATTGTCTTAGTAGAAGGCCATAGATGCCAGCTATCAAAAATTTTATATATTTTTTCGGACATTTTTAAGCAAGCAAACAGGAATTCAGATTTTTGCCAAGTTCAATCAAGCTTAAACAGTTGCAGACTGGCTTAAAATTAAATAGACAGATATGTATATTCAAATGGGTCGTTAATACTAAAGTAGAATAAATATTTTCTTTCTCAAGTCTCATAAATTAACTGCTAGACGGAATATGGAAGGCCACAAAATTGTTCGAATTCATCAGCGCGCCAAAAGTACGTTGGACTTGAAAGCCATTCGCGATCCAGCAAATAGCAGTATTTTACTTTACTGGATTAGTCAAACACGCGAATATGTTAAAATACTAATTATGGAGGGCTCTGCTATAATTAAATGAAAGCTAGCTAAAAATATTTGGAAGGTGGTATAAGCCGAATTTCACATTACAAAGTCTACTTTGTTTATGGTAACACTATGTTGGACAATGGGCCGATTTGATTTTTGTCGTAGAAAATAAAAAAAGAGCATAATTTATTTAAATCTATCTTCATTATGTATAACTAAATCTATTTACATAGTCGTGTGTGGTTTGCTTTAAACCAATTGGAAGCGTATTAAGAGCTTATTCGCTGACAAGCTAAATCATAATTTGTGAAGATAATAATGCAATCAATCAATCAAACTTTTAAAGAGCTTTAAGGTGATTGCTCACACAGGGTGCTTTGAGCTCTTCTGTAGAAACTCTATCATTTTCCCCTTGTAATCGTAATTTGTGTTGAATTTTCTATTCGATTTAATTTAAATTTTTGGAAAGTTTTTTGGGCCTTAGACCCCACTGTGCTTCAAGAAAGTCGACAAGGTTGCGCACAAAAGTAGGCAATACAAAAACAACAAGCCGGCGGCATTGTCAGCTTTGCCGTTGTTGTCGTCTGTCGGGTTTCAGAGCGACGCCAACGCACTTAGACGTACCCACAGACACGCACATACACACACATACATATGCATACACACACACACCGACTGCATATCTTGCCTCATTAACAGCCCACAACTCGCTGCAGCAATTGCCAGCGCGCTGTAAATTTGCCGCAGCAGAGATTACTTTGCAACATTTTGTCTGCCCTGCTTCCCCGTTCAGTTCAGTAGGTGACACCAATGCGCGCGTAGGTGCGACCGCCGCCGCACAGCGTCTGGCCTATTTGCCAGAGTCGTGGCACCTTGCCAGAACGTATGGAATAAACTGCGTGCACTTGACGCTATTGCTCCAGATTTGTAAGCGCGTGTTTGTGTGTATTTTGCTGGAATGCATACGTTGCGTATGTGTTTGTATGTGTGTGCACACAAGTTAAAGTCAACGATACTCTGGGGCATGGGCGTGCCATTAGCGCCACGGCGAGCTGCCATCGCCTTGCATTTGATTTTATAAAAACTTGCCCTACGTAAGTTTAAGCTGTGCGCGTATCTCGCAGCTCTGATACGCTGACTTTCTCCCTTTAGTTAAATTTCTTACAAAGTTCGAACCGTCTCGTCCCACGCGCTGCCACGATAACCATCATAAGAACCCGCAAGCTTGCAACTTCTCTTCTTACACGTAATTATGCAAAAGTTAAACGCCGCCAACGTCAGCGCGTCGCGCCTCGGCTAGCCGGCTGGAAAATCAGTCAGCACTTGAGCTGTCGCGTTAAATTATGCAAGAAAAAAAAAAAAAAA